ACAGACCTGTAAGCTGTCCTGTATCCACACTCCCCACACATGTAGGGTTTGTCTCCAGTGTGCTTTGTTAGATGTAAGTCCAAATCAGATTTCTGTACTGCAGAATAATCACACTGGTCACACTTGTAGGGTTTTTCTCCTGTATGGGTCCTCATATGTCGGGATAAGTGAGACCTGTCAGCTGTCCTGTACCCACACTCCCCACACATGTAGGGTTTGTCTCCAGAGTGTTTTGTTAGTTGTTGGTCTGATGCATTTTCCCCATGCTTTTCTCCTGTGTGGCTGTTCACAGTGAAGAAAGACTCGGGAGTTTTCTTTAAACTGCTCTCCTCACTCTCCATGGGTGTATCACTCGGTCTGTCCATTTCTGAATGGAAAAAAATGAAAGACAATAAGAACAGTTCATAATCTAAAGAAAAAAATTGAAGTCCTTTTGTGCATAATGGTTTGAAGTACTGTTTGAAAGGAAAACTACATGTACCTTACTGTCTAACCTCCATCAATATAGTAACTTTCATTGATTAACTGTTGAGACATATAGCAAGCATAAGTATTGTTATTTCACTGAACTTGAAATGACAACAGTGCCGAATCAGAGGCTAACTTCTGTCTGGATGCAGGGAGGGATGCAACAACCTGGAACAGCACACGTGTCTCTAGAGCTGTGTGTACCAGTAGGAGTGACTGTACCTATAAGAAATTGATTAGCTACAGGTCCAAATACTAGTACCTAATCCCTAAGCACCCGTACTGTACCTAAACAATTTCACACAAATTGTATGCTTGTTTGTGACCTAAAATGTGTGTTTGTGTTACACACTGACTGTGTTAACTATGCTGAAAGGTCTGTTGCATATTAGTTACGCTCCCTCTAGATGTCACTTTGGTCAGGTTTGCGTTGCAGGGTAGGAGATGAAAACAAAAAACATCTTACTAGTAGTTTTGCATACTAGCATACCCCCAGTAAAAACCGTTCACTAAAAGCTGAGGAGACGGCCCAAAAATGGCGCCACTGCTACGTTACAGTGACCGAGGCCCAAAACATAATAGTCCCTGACTAGCCTAGACTTTTAAACTAAAACCACAGAGCCGCCGTGTTTCTAGTTTTACTCTAAACTCTAAAAACGAACGAAAACAAACCTCTATGATTAGTCCCGGCGGCCATCTTGAAAAGGATGACCTCCCGCTGACCTTTGGGTCTCACACCGCAGTTCTCGGCTCCACAGCCAATTATCTCCAAGCAGATGTTACGGTGACGGGACAACTGCCAAATATTAAAGTCATCCAGTGCAGTTTTTAGGCCTTGGAAACCCGATTTTTCAAAGTCAATATTATAGTCATTTATCTAATGGATCTATATACTGAGTTGAAACTAACCCAATGTATACTGACCCTCAAGGAGCAAAAATACCCAAAATTCTGACGGAAAATGATTACTGGAAGGGTCCTTGGCTGATTTTTAGGGTACCTCCCATATTAATAAAGGACTCGTCTTGGGGCTTCTTTCTCCAGTTTAAAGTACCCAAAATATGAAATAATGATTACAATGTGCTAATGTGAAGCAGTACGTGTCAATATCACAAAGATAATGCCTTAGTCAGAATGTTTCCAGTTTTGCTGCTTTGAAATCGCATTGAATGCCTTTGAAGGCAATATCCAGACACTGGCTCCCAGGACTTCTACCGTCAGGACCCCATTTCTTCAATTCCTGGTGTAGTGATGTGAAACAAGTTAATGATTTAGAGTTAGCCACCCAGTAACCTTACCCACGCAGTATAACACATTCCAGATGTTGAGTCAGCCCTCCTACCTCACTGTACAGAATAACACCGTAGAATACAGTCATGAAAAGTCTGTCGGTGTAAGAGTCTTATTTGAGTGTTGGAGAGAACACTACAACTGGCGACGAGGAGACGACAGACAGAAGAAGGCAGAGGAAGACAGAAGAAGACAGAAGAAGACGAAAGCAAACGGTCTCAAGTCAAGACGGAAGGACGGAGAGAGCCACAGTCTTCAGAGGAGACAGCTAAGTCCAATGTCTAATGTCTTTCTTCCAAGAGAGCATCCAGAGCATGCTAGTCTAAAAGAGTCCAGAGAACTAGTGAAGAATTGTGAAGAATTCCACTAAGAATGGCGGAAAAGGGATATCTGCCTGTCCCGAGGCCTGTAGAATTGACAGGTGACATAGCCGAGAACTGGGAAATCTTCAAAGAAGATTGGGACAGCTATGAAATAGCGACTGAAAAAACAAAAAGCCAAACAAGATAAGAGCAGCGACCTTAAAAACGGTCATGGGCAGGGAGTGTTTGGATATCTTGAAAAATCTAGACATCCCACCAGATACAGCAAATCCCAATGCAGACCCGAGAGAGGACCCTGCAAAGATAATCGAAGCGCTGGACAAACACTTCAAGCCACTGAGAAACACGGTCTATGAGCGATACAAGTTTAACACTTGTGAGCAGGCACAAGGTGAGAAGATAGAGACCTATGTAGCTCGACTGAGGAAGCTAATATCCACCTGTGACTATGGAGAGTTAAAAGACGAAATGCTCAGGGACCGAATAGTCCTTGGAATTAGGGACAACAAGGTCAGGACGAGACTACTGAAGAAGAAGAACCTCACCCTTCAAGATGCACTAGATGAGTGCAAGACCAATGAGACCACAAGTCGACAGATAAAGGTCATAGAGAACGGTGAGACTGTAAACTATACCAGCAACGGTGAGACTGTAAACTATACCAGCAAGGGTACAACCCATAGAGGGCCTCCTAATTTCGGGGAAGAAACATTCCCAAGGAGCCCAAGAGGCCTGGGAGCGGGGGCGTCAAGGAAACCCAAGGCGGCAGGAAGTTGCTTTGCCTGTGGAAGGTCGGATCATTTTGCTAAAGATGACAGATGCCCAGCCCGGGGAAGGAAGTGTAGTAATTGTGGAATGCTGAACCACTTTAGAGCTGTGTGCCGGGGCAAGAGAGGTCAAGAAGTCAAGAAGTCTGGCTCCACGTGTAACAGTGTAGAAGGAGAAACAGACCCAGGGACCGATCATTATGTGTTCAGTATGGGTGGCCAGGCTCAGAAGAGAGCAGGCACCATAGATGTGAAGATTGGAGGTGTAGGTGTAGCAGGCATCCTTATCGACTCCGGAGCTACATGTAACATAATCAGCAAAGGAACCTGGGAGAGTTTGAAGGGGCAGAGAGTAGAGGTCAGAGATCAGAGGAAAGGCGGCAGGAATCTCTATGCCTATGGAAGCAACAAACCTCTACCCACATTGGGGACATTCAAGGCAGAAGTAGTCTGTCTATCAAATGCGGCTGCGACAGAGGCAGAAGTAGTGGTGATGGATGGACCTGGAAGAAATCTGCTGAGTAAGGAAACAGCAGAGAAGCTGGGGGGTGCTGCGAGTTGGCCCAGTGCAGACGGGTCAAGTAAACAACCTCCAGGAAGGTCTGACGGCAGAGGAGCGTGAGAAATACAAAGATGCGTTCACAGGTGTAGGACTCTTGAAGGAGCGAGAGGTAACCCTACACATTGACGAGACGGTGCGACCAATAGCGCAGCCATTGAGACGGGTACCATATGGCTTGAGAGACAAAGTAGACAAGAAGTTGGACGAACTGTTGGAGATGGACATTATAGAAGTTGTCCCGGAGGAACCAACAGGTTGGGTTTCACCGCTAGTAGTAGTACCCAAGCAGGATGGAGACGTACGCGTGTGTGTCGACATGAGACGTGCAAATGAAGCCATAGTGAGAGAACGACAGCCGATCCCGACGGTAGAAGACGTGCTACCTGACCTGAATGGCAGTACAGTGTTCTCCAAGCCGGACCTGAAGTGGGGTTTCACCAGGTGCCACTGAAAGAGGAGAGCCGCCACATCACAACTTTCGTGACACACAGAGGACTCTACCGGTACAAACGTCTGATGTTCGGGATATCATCGGCTCCCGAAAAGTACCAACAGCTGGTCAAAGAAGTTCTCCGTGGGTGTGAGGGAGTAGCAAACATCGCAGATGATGTCATCATCCACGGGAGAGGTAATCGGGAACACGACGAGAGACTGCATCACGCCCTGGATAAGATCCAGCAGGCTGGCTTGACGGTAAACCCTGAGAAGTGCTTGTTCCGGGTACCGAAGTTAACGTTCTTTGGACACGTAGTTACGCCGGACGGTATCAAGCCAAGCGATGAGAAGATAGCAGCAATCCGAGATGCAGAGGCTCCGAAGACGGCTGGAGAAGTGAGGTCGTTCCTAGGACTGGTACATTACGTGGCGAAGTTTGTACCGGACCTGGCAACGTTGGTAGAACCATTACAAAAGCTAACACGCAAAGGTGTAGAGTTCAAGTGGAACTCAGAGCAGGAAGAGAGTTTCAAGCGGCTGAAAGAGAAGATCACAAGTACGGAGACGTTTGGCGTACTTCGCACCCACAGGAAAGACGCGTATCGTGGCAGACGCCTCACCTGTAGGACTGGGTGCAGTGTTGTTACAGCTTCAAGAGGAGAGGTGGCGAGTGATCGCGTATGCGTCTCGACAGTTGTCGGAAGTTGAGCGAAGATACAGCCAGACAGAGAAGGAAGCGTTAGCGCTAGTCTGGGCATGTGAACGATTCCACCTATACACGTTCGGACGCGAGTTCGAGCTAGAGACGGATCATCGTCCACTAGAGCATATCTACACGCGAACGTCGAAGCCGTCCGCGCGGGTAGAGCGATGGGTGCTTAGGCTTCAGGCCTATCCCTTCAAGGTCGTATATCGTCCCGGGAAGACGAATATTGCGGACGCACTATCCAGGCTGAACAACAAGTCGAAGAATGGGGAGAGAGGAGAAGACTACGACTACGTCAGAGCCATCGTGGAGGCAAGCACGCCGGTGAGTCTGACACCGAGAGAAATCGAGCAGGCATCGGCCAAGGACCCAGAGCTGATGCAAGTGAAGACGTGTATCCACAGTGGGCAGTGGGAAAACTGTCCAATCCCGTCATACGGTCATGTGAAGACCGAGTTGAGTACGTATGGGCAACTGGTGTTACGAGGGACTCGAATCGTGATACCGCGAGAGCTGCGGAAAACAGTTCTTAAGTTGGCCCACGAGGGACATCAAGGAGTCCAGAAGACGAAGAATCGACTACGAACGAAGGTATGGTGGCCGAAGATGGAAGCAGACGTTGAGCAGATGTGCAAACGCTGCCATGGATGCCAAGTGGTGTCCGAGCAACAACCACCAGAACCGATGATGAGGACAAAACCACCAGAAGGACCGTGGCAAGATCGCAGCGCGGATCTACTAGGACCGTTACCCACCGGGGAACACATCCTAGTCGTGGTGGATTACTACAGTCGTTACTATGAGATCGCGATCATGAAGACAACGACAAGCAAGAAGGTAATAGAGGCACTAGACCCTATTTTCGCGAGATTCGGAAATCCTTCAACATTGCGTACGGACAATGGTCCACAGTTTGTCAGCACAGAGTTCACAGAATACCTCCGGGAACAAGGTATTGAACACCGGAGAACGACGCCGTTATGGCCGCAAGCTAACGGTGAAGTCGAGAGGCAGAACAGAACCCTGCTGAAATCCATCAAGATCGCGAGAATCGAGGGGAAGGATTGGAGACAGGAAATCCAGAAATTCCTGAAAGCATACAGATCAACCCCGCAGGTGACGACGGGCGAGACACCGTACAAGCTAATGTTCGGACGGGAGATGAAGTCAAAGCTACCCGAACTACCGAGAGAGACAACCTTGATGAACGAGGAAATCCGAGACCGGGATTATGGGAGAAAACTAACGGCGAAAGAATACGCAGACAAGAAGCGTAAGGCCGTCGAGAACAACCTAGAACCGGGAGATCGTGTTCTGCTGAGACAGGAAAAGAAAGACAAGTTCTCACCGAACTACCAAACGAGTCCATGTCGAGTAATACATAAGAACGGAGGAGAAGTTACGGTGCAGGATCCAGAAGGGAAAATCATCAAACGAAACGCAATCGTTCGTTAAGAAATACGCAGAGCCCGAAATC